CACATAGTCTGTGTTAGGAGGTGAAGGCACAAGCCCTCAACAAGACTTTCACCCAGAAGACTAGACCACAGTCCCATTGGTTCATTATGCTCAGACTTGAGTTTCCATTTTACCTGCTGTTAGTTTTCACTTACTGTTGTTCAGGTTTATGCAAAAACTGCAGTTCCTCAAATAGCCACTAGAAGCTGGCTCCAAAAGTAAGTCAATCCCCGCTGACCTCCATATTAAAATGTCCAACTTTACAGCTGAAATAAGCGTCTTCACAGTCTGGTAGAAATAAAACTAAACAGTTCCAGCAACACTGTTGGAAATCATAATCAAGCGTGGGTTCAGGAAGGTTGTTCTCATGATGTGTTTACATATATTTATTATATATGCTGAAATATACAGTTAAAGAAGTTAAAACACATAAAGTAATTATTTAGGAAAATTTAAAAAAAACAACACTAATAAAATGCACTGATGATATACGTAGATAAGAAAAAGGCCATAAGGGTCAGTTAGAGCTCGTGGTTCATGAAATAGATGGTCTCTATATGAAGTCTAAATAGGAGCCATTCTGCAGACTTCATCATTCAAATCACAAGATGTACTGAAAACAAGGATTGTATGGGGTTCACATGTCAGTAGACGCCTGTGAGGATGATCACACACAATGTGGTGATGCAGTTCATGGCAGGAGGTGAGAATCTGGTGATAATGATACTTTGGGGAGAGTAAAGACTCCTGTTTAAGTTAAGGCTTCTTGTGAAAACTTCACCAGCTCGGGTTTCTATACTCTCTGTGCAGTGTTCAATAAATCCACATATGGAGGGACGATCACCAGCTCTGCCCTGGTCTGTGTTTTCTCAAAGGTGTTCTAATTATTTGCTGTTAGAGTCGCACAGTGAGTGTGGTGGTCGGATTAGAAATTCACCACAATGCAACTCTGGGGAGGAGGGGGATGAATTTTTATATAACTCACCCATTTCAACTGTGCTTCAAATTGTGCATTATGCATGGCTGCTTTGAGTGACAGCTGGGTGCTATCACAGGACAGTCCGTGGCCCAAAGACGCTCGCATGGCCCACCTCGGCTCGGCTTCCGCTCCACCTCTGAGCTCATTTTTGGGTTAGTCTGGAGACGGGAGGACTCGGGCCACCACGCTGACCTTTAAACTGCTGTCAGAAAACCTAGGATGGGTTGGTCAGAGCACTAAAGGTACTTGGTACCTTTTGGGAAAAATATGATATAATACAGCCCTTCTGTAACACATTTAGCCAACTTCCGGGGTTAAGTCGATTAGAAATGTGATATTGCAGGAAAAAAAAAAAACATGGCTGCCTCAAAATGAAACTGAGAATGCAGTTTAGTTGTATAAGAATGTAATTTTCTGGAGACAGAGCTGGATAAATAATATAAGGTCACAATGCAAATTAGATATCTGTGACTAAGAAGCATCTGCCGAGTGAACCTGTAAGCCAGCCACTCATTCCGTTAATGCCACGGGGGTACATGCTCTTTGCCACGAAAGCTAACCATTAACATTATCATGCCTTGTGGAGCTCTAATGGCTGTTTTCTAATACTTCCTTGCTCCCTGAATTAGCCACAGTGACCTTTTGAAGCTTTCCCACAAGCCATTCACAGCCCCTCTCCGTCTCTTTCATATTGCTCACTCTCGCCGCCGTCACTCATTTGTTAGTGGCGGCAAGGAGGGATCAAACACGGAGCCTCGCGGCTGCAGAAGCGTCTTTGGAGCCATATCGCCCCCAACATTCATTGTCATTTTGCTTTGTTGTTAGCTGTGACACTGGCACTTACGTCGGTAGGATTTTTGCCTATTGTTTATCAAAGGGTTTGTGCATGTGTGTGTGTTTGTGTGTGTGTGTGAGTGAGTGAGTGGGTGCTGGCTAATGATCAGTTTGAAATGATGCCTGGCCTTTTGGTATGTAGCGCCAGCACAGGCCCAAGCTGAGACACCAGCCAACTTCAGCATGGCAGGGGGAAGCTTCTGTCATTCGAGGGACGACTTCGGCGCCGACAGTTTGCCGCGTGTTTGTGTCAGCGCTGCTTTCATAGCTGATGAAAACTCTGCCATATGAGGCTGTTTTAACAGGTTACTATAATCAGAGGAGCCCACTGTTTCTTTTCATCATGCCATCTGACTGCTGTTTTGAGTCATCCTGCAGCCTGTGTCAGCAGCGAAACGAAAGAAAACAACTTGGACAGGTGGTCCGTCCATCACAGGGCTTACACACAGGCACATATGTCAGTTGTATTCACACTTTGGAGCGGTTTCCAATTCACCTGAGTTGCATATGTTTGCCACGTTTTTAAAGCCACAATCTTCTTGTCAGCTCGCTTGAATGCCAACAAGCACGTCCGACTACAAACAGAGCCGGTGAGTCCTCATTATCTGGCAGACACATGTGTTTCTGGAGTTACTGAGACTTTTAAAGGAAGCTTGAAATAGCAACTAAGTCAACAAGTTTAACTCTGAATATGGGTATAAGCAAAAATGCACCTCATGGTCGTGTTCAACGGTGGTTCATGTGCAAATGTGGCACAACTTGGACCAATGTGAAACCTGCTGGAACGTGACAGGTATTGTTTATAGGAGGAATACATTATCAGCAGGCGGAGTGGGTGTACACTTCAGTAACAGCCACTCAAATCAGCTCCTGTCATGACCTTCAAAGCACAAATATAAATATGTTTTCAAGGACAGTTGGATGTATATGTCCACTCTGTGTTGATTGATTCATTTCAGTAAACACTGAAATACTGTAGTACTACTTAATAATAATGAAGTAATGTTCATCAGCTGTAGTACCTGGATGTACCACTAGGTGGAGTCTCTTACTGTTTTGTCATTGTTTAATATTGTAGTGACTCAAGGAGGTAAACACAGGGACTACAGGCTGTTTTGTGTTGGTGATCAGAGAGCATTGTGGGAGATTAGCTCGCAATGGAGACTTCTAATGCAGTCAGTGGTTTGCAGCCAGTGTTCACATTCTGATAGAACAACAGAAGCTATGCTGATTGGCTGGCGTAGCCAAGGCATTTGTGACGGGAAGTCACGGTAGTTGTAAACCACTGGTAGTTGCTGGAAGAATGGCTGTTCATTTATGTTAATGATTAGGTGACTATTGATTGATTGACTATTGGTAAGGACAGCTGTTTAAAATTTGCATCCGTGCTGTAGATACAAAGCCTGTCATTTCAACTGAAGTCTAATGGGCTAACTCACAAATCACACTGATTTCGGTTGGTATTTTCCTGAAAGTTCTGACTAAAGTGGTGATTCATATCCATTTTCACAGCGTTGCTCCACTTGATGTTATTATTCGTCTATCATCCTGTCGTCTGTTTACAAAATAAGCTATCCCTGCAAGATGCACAGTGCGTCTCATGAGCATGTCATTTAGCTGCCTCTCGACTCCACCGTCTTGGGCTGCAAGTGGCAAAGGTGGTCATTGTTCTGCTTTGCTGCAACATCACATGAACCAGTTTGCAGGTTGGAGTGGCTCTCCAGCTCATAGTAGGTCTCCCAGAGAACAGAACAAAGACTACTGCTACTACTACTAACACTGTTGCGGCAGTCCAAAGCAGTGGAGTTTGCGTCCATATGCGGAATGAAAGACACACTGGAGACGTAGCTGAATGTCATTAAGGACCACCACAATAGCAACCCGGCCACTCTGAAGGTGGGAAACATGATGCAACCTGGTTAGCAGCGGTGGAACTTTCAAATAAAAAGCTTATGTGTAGCAACATTAAGTTAGTGATTCCATTTAGATCGTCCACAACATAAGATCGTCACGCTGCCCACCACTACCTCTACTTCATGTCTCTCTTCCTGTTTCCAGTCACATGACTCCCACACCTGATCCCAGTGCAAACCTGTGTCTTATACCATCCATCTTACATATCTGCATGCTCTCTGTTCTTATTCTTTTTTTATCCGTTTGCTGTTTTGCTCCTATTACTTGCCTACTTGCTCATCTGCAAATCAGCCTTTAAGATTCCATTCTTGACATTTTTAAAAATGCAAAATAAAAGATAAACTGCTCTTGCACACTGGGTTCTGTCTGTTTTTGGGCCTTTCTCTCTTTGTGGCCCAAGCCATGGACAGCACATGTACTACAGTGTTGTGGTACCGCTGCTCTAAACTACTGCAGTCAAACTAGCACATGAGTCAGCACGTTAACAAGCAGCTACAGGTTGAATATATGCACAGTGTGACAGTTCAGTCAGGGAGCTGGGTGTGGCACAGACTGCAACATACTTATTTGATATTCAAAATGAGATTTTGATAAACAAATGATATGAATTTACATTTTGCTCTGCTTTGTGATACATCCTGAGACAACAGCATCAGATCCCTGACTGTAAAACATGTCTTGAACCGAAACTATGTGATAGTAATTCACACAAGTTAAATAAGTAGAAGTTAATTATGCTGCATCTTAGATAGAGATATTACCGTCCTGAGTAACAGTGGTGATTTGAAAACTGTGTAAATGATTCAGTGTGCTGATGCCAGACAGAAGCTTTGATATGCCGTCTGTGTGCGTACCTTCTGCCCAGGCAGTGGTTATCTGCTGAGCTTTTCCTTGTATCTGCTCCTGCCAGATAATCACTTGATAATCACTTACAGCAGTGAAACACCCCTTACCTGCAGTTGTGCTGACAGAGGAAATGCATTGTGTAAGCCCAGTCAGGCTCCATATGGATCTGCTTTATGACACCGATCCAAGTAGAAAATGATGATTCTCATAAAAGTTAAAGCTCTGACAGCTGAGGCAACAAAAAGGGAGCTTTTACACTTAACAGCTTAGGACAAATGACTTGTTTGAATAATGAAAAAAGTCAATGCCATTAGCTTGGCCTGTGCTTTTAATAGCTCCGTCTGCCACCTTCCCTCTTCATCAGTTAAAGGCTGTGACTAAAAGATAATTCGTTTCATTATTCCCAGGACTCGGCGAGCGTGTAACCGTGCTATGTCTTTATCTTCAGGGGAAAAGAGTTTGGTCATGACGTCGACTTCATCGTGACCACAACAGAGCAGGGGAAGGAGAAGCGTCTGCTCACCAGCCTCATTGATCAACTGAAAGAACAAGTGAGTGTGTTCTTTTTTTGACATCAGGATTAGTTGGCAGCAGTGATTTAAATCTGTTTTGCTGGATTTACTCTAAAATATAATGTTTTGGCTCGACGCATCGGTTTGCATCAATCATTTCGATTTATGACAGCTCCTAATGAAATTATGTTCAACTAACAAACTACACTGACTGAGGAGAACTCGCTATTTATCTACAATCACAGGTGTTTATAACCATCTGAAATTGCCCAGGTAGGCTCCGAAGGCCCCTCTACGACCCTAGTGAGGATTAAGCAGTGTATAGATAATAGACGGATGGATGGATGGATGTTAGGATAGTGGAGGAGGCTTGAAATCCTCAACTCAAGTTATCAAGCACATTTCATCACATTACCTCAACTTGAATTTAATCAACTAATGCAGAAATCTGAGTTCAAATTACACATAATGTTAAGTTGATGCAATTACCAACATTATTCTGTCAACCCAGTCCATCAAAATGATGTTCGAAATCAGATTTTTCCTATTTTTGGTGCAACTATGCATCTAATTAAGTGATGGAAACAGGTATCTGGAATTACTTTTAAGCGTGTTTAAATATTTTTTGGGAAAACAAGTCCTTGATTCTGGATAAGTTTAATATGGGGTGTAGGGTAAATACCACGATGCAAGTCTGTGGACAACACTAAAGAATAAACAGACGACGACATAGGAGCTATATTTTTGGGTGTTACAATCAGTAGGACCTTTGGTGAATGTTTAATCACTACTGTGCATTTAAAATTCAAAGATTAAAATTAATTTGGGGTTTCAAGAAGCTAAAAGGTCATGTGGCCGTTTGTGTTTCCATTGCAAATACCCACCATTACACCCAGATTACACTTGGACTGACTAGAGGCAAAGTTATCTACAGATCGTACTTTAAAAGATCACTATGGCTAAAAATTATGCAAAGTATATGTACAACTGTCAACACTCCAAAACCACGTAGAAAGGTTGCAGGGGTCGTTTTAATTGTACCTCCCCAACGATGTCAGCAATGGCAAAGGTCTCATTTAGTGAAGGAGTGAAGTGGAGTGAAACAGCAAGACAAGTCAAAGTAACTATTTAGAATTCAGTTTGACTTTGCAATTACTTTAGGTTCTTTTAATCCAGGTCGAAAAAGGTCAAATATGTTTTAAAATGAATACTTAACTGGAAGAAAAAAAACCCAACAAGATAATGAAAACATTTAAATAGTTTAATTATTATATAAGAGGGAAAGTGAGAGTAGAACAGGTCTTGGACTGTAACATGTTGTTTTCGTTTGGCTGAGGGCGATGAAGAAGCGGCGAGCTCACCGTGTGCTAATTTTAGAATTGCTATAGTTCATTACAGAAGGTCTGGCAGGTCAAACAGCCTGGGTTTTAAAATTGATTAATAAACTGTAGGCTACAACTAACAAGCCACGAAATAATTAACACATTTGAAGAATTTAGTTATTATAGAAGAAGTTTTTTTTCCCTCTTACCATACGTACTCAAATGACGAGATTAGACTCCGGATGCTGACTGTTATTACTGAGTTTGGAAAGTCCAGTTTTACTCACATTTAATTTAATTGTACCTCCAGCTGTTCTTGTTTTAATTGATTATTTTATGTTTAAAATTCAAAAGCTGCAAATTATTCCTAATATTTTTACTGTTTTACTAATTTCGCCTTTAAATAAGAAAAAATTTTGCAAACGCATAGGGGATGTCAGTAAATATATATATATAAAAAAAGAAATCAGCACAAGTTGTGTTGATATTGTGGAGATTCTTATATATGTAGACAGTCGAGATATTGTACCGATTGCTCTGGATGTGGGGGAAAAAAACAATATCGCACAGGATTATTCTACAAGTAGAAAAGCATTGCACAGATTCTGCTAAACATTAGATTGAGGCCGCCATCTTAAGTACCCGTAGTGCACAGCATTCATCACGTGGCACATTGGCAGGTAAACAGTACTTCGTAATGTATGCAATCATGTATAGAAAAATATTTTTTACAAAAAAGGAATGAATAAACATATGTGAGAAAAAACTATATGTGAGAAAAAAATATAAAGAGTCAGATATACATATAGAGCTACCATATCCCACCGCACAACAGTCAGGAGATACAGTATATGAAGTAGGTTATTGCAGCTCCATATGAATATGATCAAGTACATAACATGTTGCATATATACCTTATCTACCACACTTGACGACAGCCACAATATATCACCACACACATACATGTACATATACCCCTAGACATATTATATACACTATTAACAAAGTATGTGTACCTCAAATAGATAAGTGCTCCAAAATAGGACTCAGGCAAAGGGCCATCATACTGTAATAAATTGTAAAAGGGAGCTTGTTTGGTGTGCGGATCGTTCTTCTGTTCTTCTTTTCTCATCTTTGACATTTTGTGATCCAGCACCCAACCCAGTGGGGCTGTGCGTGCCTTTCCTTCATCAGACTATTGCACAGATTCTTCCATGAGTATGAAAATACCGATCAGATATAATTTGTGTGCGTCTACCACCACTGCTGGATAGTCACTGATTTCTGTTCATTGGTTAGGTTTTCTGAATTTGTTTTTTTTTCTTTCTAAATGCTGCACCCGCGTTGTTCAAATTCAAAGATTATTTGCTTAATTTGTGTTTTGTCTATTGCGTGTGATTTCTGAAGCTGCGTCGAGCTCTCAGGGCCGCTGCACTATCTTATCTCCTTTTGAAGAGGTGCAGCCTGCTGAGGGTGGACACTGTAACATCAACATCAGCATACTAAATAATGCAGACCCGCGCAACATAACCGCAGACTGCAGCCCACGAGAATGATGATAGAATTGCACAGGAGTTGGTTATTCCAGCTCTTTATAGTGTTAACTAGTTCTAATCTAAGTGATTAACACATCAGTGGGTTGCACCACAAAAACCTCGCTTTTATGTGGAGAGCACAATATGTTTCCTAGCAACCGGTTTCTTCGTTGCTAAAGTCTTTACTATGTAGGAAGCTTCTGAAATTTTTTAATTCTGCAACAACGTTTAACACCTAACCCGAGGTGGAAGAAGTCTTCAGATCCTTTACACGTGTATTTTCTTTTTATTCAAAAAATTTGAAGAACTCGTTTAGTGACGACCTTCATTCCCGGTAGCGCCGGAGCACATCAAGTACAAGCAGACACTCTTATATTAAATACCTGGTGAGTAAAGAAACAACAATCTAAGCATACGCCTGGTTAAGCAAAGGTGGACAAGCATCCATCCATTATCTATACACCACTTAGTCCTCACTAGGGTCGTGGGGGGCTGGAGTCTATCCCAGCCGACTTAGGGTGAAGGCAGGTTCACCTGGACAGGTCACCAGTCTATCACAGGGCTACACTTAGAGACAGACAACCAAGCACACTCACATTCACACCGACGGACAATTTAGAATCACCAATTAACCTCAACATGTTTTTGGACTGTGTGGGAGGAAGCTGAAGAACCTGGAGAGAACCCACACTGCACGGGGAGAACATGCAAACTCCACATAGAAAGATGAAATGAAATGAAAAACACTTTATTTATCCCAGAAGGAAAATTCAATCCAGAAGGGAAATTCAATTTTTTCAAAATACAATTCATTCAAAGATCCCGGGTGTCCTCACTGGGGCTCGAACTGGTGACCTTCTTGCTGTGAGGCAACGGTGCTAACCACTGATCCACTTTGCAGCTCTATTATTATACATGACATCGTTATTTTTTCATATTTTTTAGAAAAAGTGAAGCATCAGTGTGTTAGTGTTGCAGCTGCTGCAGGTTTGAACTAGTTTATATACAGTTTTATATACAGAGACAGAAGATACATCTGAGGAGCTCCAGACATGAATAAGAAAAGAGAGATAAACAAAGTTCTGTTTTCAGTTTTGGATTTTTTTTTCTCTAATCTCTAATTGTTGGAGATATTGGATCATTTTTAAAAAAAAAAATGTACTGAAATGACCCGTGGGAGAAGTTTAGAGTAAAAAATCCCTATTTGGTGGAGCTGTTAGCAGCTCAGACGACTGAAACGCGGTCCAGACAAAACGCTGCTTTTAGTAGGATGTCTCAGATGTAGTGGAGTGGAAATGTATAATAGCATCACATTAAGTTGCACTTAAAGTACTTGAGTGAATGTACTTTGTTACTTTCCAACTGTGTAAATCACTAGACTGAAAGTGGCTACTGGTACAAACTGTCCCTACAAACTTGTTTTTTCATTTCCTTGTCTGGGCCATAAAGTGGCAAACAGTCTTCAGCATTTTTATTTGCAGCTACCCGACACTTAACAGAACGTCCCGACACATATAGAAACATATCAGATGCTGACACAGGAGTCTGATCTGAACAAAAAATCCTAGAACTGATAATGACATTACTGAAAAGGAGTCAAAGTTTTGCATGCCTGGTGTGTTCCTGTGGTTTTTATGCTGTGAATTAAAGTTAGAAAAATAGGATTGGAACGGACTTCTTAGGATGCTAACAACCTCAAATGTCCACTCATTGTCACAATATTGGTTATTAACATTGCTAGATACTGTTACAGTAAGATTGTTTTGATAATAAGGCTTTTAATGGCCACTTTTGCATTATTCTGACTGTGTCCTTGGAAATCTTTTGTGTAACACTCAAAGAGAAAGTTTTTTTTAGCAAATTTAGCTGCTTGCAATGGCAACAGATTGGATTAAAGTAGGTAGATCCTGTAAAAATATATCACATTAGGAACCTTTAAGCAGGTTTTTAAGGACAATGGGCAGCGCTGGATATATACCCCTTAATGGAAAATGGGCAAAAAAAAGTGAAGTGGATGAGAGGAGAGGATGAATATGGAGGAGAGACGTACATGATAGTGGCTGATTAAAGCAGCGAGAAAGTGAAGACAAAGTGAGAAAACGCGTGAGAGAGACAAAACATCGAAGCAGACGACGTTAATGACAGCTTATGTTTACACACACGTAATGGTTTAATTAGTGAC